TCTAGTTTTTGAATTTTTTGGTGTAAATTTTCGTTTTTTAAAAGTATATCATTTTAACCTTTCTCCAATTAATCATGATTATATGGACTTTTTCTATAGGTACTGTAGCCTCAGAGGTTCGACTCTTGTGTGATCTAGAGCAATCTGAACCTTCATGGTAAATCAATTGCAACTTTACTGTTAATCACTTGTTAGAAATTTTTCCCGCAACCATATACACATTTAATGTGCTTGATGATTTGTTCAGGAGTGTTAGACATGTAGGTGGTGCAATGAGGGGTGCAGGTGCAGAGCAAGTTTCTGTTCTAGTTAGGTCAATGGTGGAAAGCAAAACAAGCAAGAATGCACTTCGCTTGTTTTATGCACTGGGGTACAAGTTTGACCATGAGCTGCTGAGAGTGGGATTTTCCTTCAATTTCTACAGGGGTGCACAAATCACTGTGACGGTTGCATCAATCAATAAAATGCTGAAGCTGCACGCAACTGATGAGGCCGTGCCAGTAACACTTGGTATACAGATGGTTGAAGTAATAGCACCCGCAACTTCTGAAAACTATACTGAAGTTGCTACTGCTATGTCATCCTTTTGTGAATACCTTGCACCGTAAGTATCTTTTTTCTTTCTCAATTGCATATTAAGAATCTTTTATACAAATCTTTGCACTGGAGGGATCTTAATATATTGCTAGTAATTGGGGGGTGTTACTGTTTTCTTAATTTACCGTCATGCTTGTTTGATATCACTCAGTCATGATTGATTAAGGTCTTACTGTCATATTAAAATTAAGGTTTATTTGGATAAGCTTCCTCAAAAACACTTATAAGAGAGAAAATTATATAAATAAATAAAAAATCAAAATAAACTTCTCTAAGTTAAAAGTAATCCATGTATGAGTTAAAAAGAAGATTTTAGAAAAGTTATATGAGATCATTTCTACATATTAACTTATGTAGACAAGCTTTAATTTATGGAAAAATTTATTTTATTTTTTCTTATAACTATTATATATTCGCATATTACGCTTTTCCTTTTACTTTATTTTACTTAGAAATTTATCGCATGTAAGGACTCAAAATGATATTTTGTTAGTTTTGCAGTTTTAACTATTATATATTCGCATATTACGCTTTTCCTTTTACTTTATTTTACTTAGAAATTTATCGCATGTAAGGACTCAAAATGATATTTTGTTAGTTTTGCAGTTTTTATTCCCGGTTATTGTTTGTATGATTTGTTTGTGATTTTGGGTGAAAATCTGTGAATTATAGAGTGTTAGTGTAGATTAGAGATTATTAACATACTGTGTAAACATTTTGAGATTTGTTGGAATTATGCAGTTTGTCATCTACCAGTTCATCTTCATTTTTATGGAAAAATTAATTTTTCACTAATTAATGCTCCTAAAAAGTTGTTCTGGTACATTCTTTCAATCTCATTTTCATTTTTTTTCTACTACATTTTTTCTGTGTTTTATTGACTTCTTTAGTGCATGCAAAAGTGTCTCCAAACTATCATATGGAAAAAGACAAATTTATTTAATGAAAAGTTGTAAATAATTTTCATTTTAAATTGTTTAATTATTTTAAAAATATGACATTATGCAATTTAATTATTATTTATTTAAAATGTTGTTTATTATTTATTGACATTTAATTTCGTTAATTTTGTTCATAATTTGCAGGGAAGCTATAAATCGTCCTGAAGCGAATTCATTATTTGATCTTCCCATAAAAAAAAAATTATGATGGAAAAATTGCATTTGATTATTATATATATATATATATATATATTATTTTATTCCATTATTGTAAATATAACTATGTAGAACATAAATTTTT